TGGTTTTATTTTTTATTTTTTAACGAAAAGTATTAACGTCACTAGAAAATGCATTATTTTCACGGACCTGATAGTTGTTTTTTGTTTCAGAAAAGCAAACCATTCACATTATTGAAGACCGCCAAACAAGTTCCAAAACAGTATTGAAGAGGGCATCTTCCAATTTGAAGGAAACACTTCCTGAATAGGTCAAACGCACAGATTGGGTTGTTGAAGAGGGCATCTTCCAATTTTGGAATATTTTCGGTATTTCACTTTCAGCACCTACTTTAATAGTTGTCAAACACCACCTTAGCCCGAGTGTTTGTAGGTTTGGTGTCAAGCTAGATCCTGTTTCTGTTTCCTCCTGTGCTGTGTTGTTGTATTAATTCCTTTCTTCTTAAATTTTCTTTCTATCATAAAACAAACACCACCTTAGAGACTTAAATATTATTGCACTAAAGAGGAAAACACAATTCAAATGAGGTGGTACGATAATGGCTTAAATGTTAGGACTTAGGAGAAACCAAAAAAAGATTAACCTGATATAATTAGTTCTATTAATATATATGTTTGCATTTTATGATTAATGATTTTCTTTTTAAATACATTGCAATAAATTAAAAAAAAAATAGGGATAAGTAGACCGCATTCCACCTCATAAATCTAAAATTACAGTCCCTTCTTACTAGCCCCCTATAAATCATATCATGCCCATGGATTTGGTGTCAATCCACCGACAGAATTCATCCCACCTGTACAACAGAACTAAGATTTCTAAGGGTAGGCTGAACAGTAAAAACTACAAAAATTTATCATATCTATGTTTTTGATAATGGTTTACCAAAACATTGGAGGGTATTGATTAACTCTGTTTATTATTAATTTGATTAGGTTAATAAATGATTTATTAAGCAAAGATGGGCATTTGGTCTAGTGGTATGATTCTCGCTTTGGGTGCGAGAGGTCCCGAGTTCGATTCTCGGAATGCCCCATTTAATTATTTTCACCACCTTAAACTTAAAAGACGCTTGTTTTTCAATAATATGTATTGACAAGTTGGTATTATTCTTTTTATATTTTTTGAAGAAGAAGTTGGTAATAGTTTCGTCCACTATACTTCCTTACATATATATTAAATGCATACCTTATCTACTTGTCAGTTGTCACATGCCTTTTCTCATCTCACACAAATTCTTCACCAAGAGGGGAGTTAAAGGAAAGGCCAAATTAATGTGTTGGTCAGGACTTATTATCATGCTAATGACACCAAAGTCTATAACATTAATATTATAATATTGTGTTCAAAATATATATTGGATCTTTCTTTTTTCTTATTTTCGCTCTTCTTGTTCTTAAAAACCAAGGATCAGGTCAAGATGGACCACTATATAAGGTTAGACTGTTATTAGATCCCTTTACAATATTGGTCTATGTTGACATTTAAAAATTGGATTATAATGATGGTTGAGCAGTTTTGGTTGGAAAAGGAAAATAAAAAATAAGGAATACAACTGACTTTTTGTTTTTAAAGTTTATCTATTTGGCTTTCAAATATTAATATATATTAAATAAATAATTTATTTCAAATTGAATAGGCTACAGGAGCTTCGGGTAGACCAAAAAGGACATGTGTTATAGTGAGAAACGACTTGAGCGGATGCTATTCTCATAATCCATATAGTTGGGATCATTGTTTTAAAAGACTCTTGAAGCGAGGCTATGAAAAAAGGCCTGAAGTCATTTGAGGCTTATGCCTTTGGGCCTTTGGCCTCAAAATGTCCATTCTTAGCCTCAACTATTCAACTTGCTAATGTGGAATATGAATGTTTACGTAAGGGCAAACATAAATTTAAGACAAAAAAGCCCGGTTTTGTATGTATTGGTGTAATTAGCAAATAAATAAACACACAAATAACAAAAAATGCATATAAAATGTGTAAGAAAATAGTTTGTTTTATTTTTCATGATTTGTTCTTACCCATTTGCCCATTTGTCCATTTATTATTATTATTATTTTTTGATTATTCCCTTTTTTCATTTATCTCATACCTAATATTTTATTTCTTCTAAAGCAATGAGCACATGCATAATATATATATATGGAATATGGTCACCCTTCACTAATGCATATTAGTGTAATAAATGAAATAGGAATGTCTTGTTCTTAAAACAATGTTGGTTCATATCCCTAAATTGAAAAGTTTGATGAGGAAAACAATAAAAACTACTTTGATAAGATTTTAATCCAAACTTTATTGTATGTTTGGGGTATCAATACCCCTTTTTAAGTTTTTTAATATTTTTTAAATTGGATAATATAAAATTAACATTGTAAAATTAAAAAAAAACTGAAAAAAAATTATACATGGTTCAAAGTGTCAATAATCAATACATCCCTTTCCGCTTATTGGGTGTATGGATACTTTGGACAATGAATCCATGTCTAATATATCATACAAGGCATATATAACCATAATTTTATGTTTTCATGTTTTTATTATTTATGGACTATATCCGTTTTTTTTTTTTTTTCTCAAGACTTATGCCTCAAAACACCTTGAGGCTTACGCCTTGCATCTATGAGACATAACTGCCTCGCCTCCACCTTTAGCCTTTTTAAAACCTTGGTTGGGATAATGACCGACTGATGCCAATAAACAGATGAATATAACCATCAAAGTGAATAATCCGCCCAAGTTTTTTTATCTTAAAAAAAAAAAGATGAAGGTTTTACTTCTATTTATCATCATGGGGTATGTTGTGAAAGCTTTCATTAGAGCATCCTTGGGAACAATTGAGTTGATACACCTACAAATGTCGATTACCAAATATTTGAACTATTTCTTTTATTGATAATAACATATTTTACGGTTTTAATGGAATTGCTAATGGCTTTACGTCACAACCCCTCTAAGCTCTGAATGATTCATCTAAATTTTGTATTTTTTCTTTTGAAAATTTGGGAAAAACATGTGGCGACTTAGATTTATTCATAACCCATAGAAGAAGAGATTTAGTACAAGTTGAAGGGGTTAAAAGAGGTAAGGATAGATGGAATAGATGAAAACCTAAATGGACTTAGGTGAAAGTAGTAAAGTGCCCATGATTTTAAAATAAATATGACCGTAAAAAAATAATGGCGAAACAAGGTTTATGTAGCCGACCCATATAGTTATGACAAGGTTTAGATGATGATAAATTTATCCATTCTCATGTAATATATGAGTTTGGATATACTGACTATAACACATTGTTGGCCATGTTCATCAAACCACACATAAAAAACAGTGATTGTCTATATTATCAATATTCCTGATGTGCGGATTGGTGAGTGTGGCCAACAATATATTGTGGTCAATATATCCACACTCGCAAAAGCATGGGCATTTTTTTACACATTGCACGAGTTCCGTTTGGTATGTGTATAGAGTAATGTTTAATCTTTTTCCTCATTCGCGAGAGAAATAAAATCCAATTACATGGTTGAGAAAATTATGCAGTAAATAAGAGTTAGGGTCATCTATTAAAATACATTCCAACACACCACAAGGGCGGAGCTATGATTTTGTATTAAGGGGAAAGCTAGCAAGCATGGATAGAGGGCCAAAAGGTAGTAAACATAGGTAAGAGGGCCAAAATCTAAGCGCTTGTTTGGCATTGATGCCATTTGCTCTAGGAAATAGTGATACATCAGTGTCATGTTAGAAAAAACAATGCTTCCAATTAATGCTTGTTTGTTTGAAACCATTTAACCATATTTTAAAAATCGGTAAGGTGTGACTTGAAACAATGCTGAATTTAATCTTTGTTAGAGTTATAACTCATTGCTACCAACAGAAATATAAACATAAGATGACATTGATAAAGACACATCGTGGCACTGGAGATTGGCTCCGCCCCTGTCCCACCATGAAAGAGAGACCCCGTGTATAATGCATGCGGTGTGTGATGTTGAGAGGGTGTTGGAACATTTTATGATGGTAGACGATCATACAAAATAAGAGTAGGAAAATCTCCTATAAATAAAAACATATAAATACAAAGATGTTGTCAATGCACCGCTGCAAATGGCTATAAGCATGTTGCGAGGCTCGGTCGATGCCTTTGCAAATAACCCCTCAACGTTGTTTTGAATGAGCGTCTGGATCTTTTTCACAGAACGCATCTCAAACTGATTTCATAGATAGCATATCATGGCCACACATCGGAAAGTTTTCCGTACTTGTATTTATCATTGATGAGATATATTCGGAATACAGGGTGAGATGTGGCAATTGTTTGAATGCAGGGTTGTAGATTTGTAGTAGCCGAGCGCGAGGTACGTGGTATATTTGTGAATGCACCGAGCAGAGGACAACGTCGTAAATATGGGAAAGGATGGAAATGTCTAAATCTGATATCTCTTGGGAATTGGGCCAAGTTTTTGCATGGCCAGGCCAAGAATCTCTCCAGTTCACGTCCTGCCCTTGTCATCATGCCTTTTATCGCTGCTGATTCGCTCGGGGAGATGAAAGCCACGAAAAGCGCATGAAAATAATACACTAGTCACTACATGCAACGTTACGAGAGACTGTCCCTCCCTCCGTCCGGGTTCCGGGCTCCCCCACTCCTCCCCTCTCATCATTTCGCTGTAAAGATAACGATAATAAAAAGGTTTTGAGTCTTTTGACGTTTTGTTTTGTTTCTTACTTTCTTTCTAAGCCTGCTGTTTGGACACTTGTATAAGTATAAGCCCACCCCTGGCCTCACCTCAGACGGTCAGACCTCACCCCATTAATCAGTTATGGTCTTTAAAGAATTAAGGATTTCCGGATTAAGCAAGGTTTTATGGAAGCCTGGGATTTTGTCCATCCTATCCCTCTCGTTTGATTTTCTCCAACGAAGTCAACAGACAAACGGGGGACCTGTGTTGATGAAAGGGACCGTTAGTCCTAGTTTTAGTAAATTCGTGGTTTCCGAGGGGGCGTTTTGGTAAAAAGGGGAAACAAAACAAAATCAGTTTAACTTTTTAAAAAGCAACACAAACTTGGAAAGCTATCTCACATTTCCCAAACTCGATTGATCGAGAAGCTGGATTGCAGTCTCGTAATGGCGGCAGAAATCGCTGTTGCAGAAGAAACTCCGAAACCGTCGAACGACAACAGCAAGCTGCTTTCTTCGTATCTCGGCCTTAGCTTCGCCATTTTTCTAGGGTTTATCCCGAGAGCCTCATGGTCCTTGGTCTCCACGCTGCAGGCTCGGAATAGGAACCTGGCCATGAAGCTGTTCCAGGCGGAGGAGCAGATTAGGCAGATGAAGTCCAGGAGGAAAGAGGATTCAAAAGCCAACGCCAGGGTGGTCGAGATCTTCGCCAGTCATCGGAATACGTGGCAGCAGGAGGAGAAGAAGCTGTTGCAGCAAATCGAGGCTTCTGCGGAGGAAATCGCGCATTTGAGGGCCAAGGTTGATGAATTAGAGAAGAACGAGGTTGAATTGAGGATGTGTATCGACAAGTTGCAGAGGGAGGTGGAGGAGAGGGAGGACATGATTAGCTTGATGTCAAGGAAGACGGAAGATGAGGAGTACGCTGTCGGATCGGTTGAGAGGCTTGAAACTGACAAGGATTCAGAGATTGGAGGGTATGAATCACAGGACAGAGGAGGTTATGCCAGGTGTGTGGAGGATAATGGGTTATTCGGTGATTACTCTGCGGATTTCACCAGGTTTGGCAAGTTCAGGGTTTCGRAGGGGTTGGATCCCATTTCAGAGGAGTGCTTCTTGGAGAGAAATAGCGAAGCTGACGAAATGGCCCTTCTTTATTCGCAGCAAAATGGCTTCAGTCAAGATTTCTTGCCTTCGGCGTCGAAGCTGTGGGCAGAGAGGACGAACAGCTGGAAGGTTCGAGCTTCTTCCTCTTCTTCTCCTCCTCGTCTCCTCTTCTTCTCCCTGTTTTTATCTTTCAATAGCTTTATCTGTCTACGCGTTTACTTGCTAAAATTGTCCTCGAGTAGAAATGTTGTTGGATTTGCAGAAAAGATTTGGTTGCTTGCGCATTTTCTTTCATGGTTGAAATTTGGTAAGGATGATCTTTTAGTGAGGAGAAATGCATTTAGAGGACTATAAGAGTATTTTGATACTTGTTTTTTGCTGGTTCCTCTCTGTTATAGAAATCTGTTTCGCTTTCCTTTAGAGCTCTTCCCAATATTGTGGGCTTCAGGTCTCTTTGATCACCTTTCTTTAGTGCTTTTAGGTTAAATCCTCACCCTTCTTTTCATAGGTTGGGGTTTAACTCGAACGTCTATGTCTCATGGAAGACTAGCGGTTACAGTTGCAGAGTTTAATTTTGAGCTGAGCCTAAAAGTGGCACATGCTGAAACCCTGTTATAGCATTACTCATGGAAACTATAGAAGTAAATTGCTGCAACAATTTCTTTAATCTTTGGGCTAATATCTCTCCTCTGTTATCAGTTACCAAGTGTACATCATTCACGCAGCGTTGTCCCAAGTTTTACTTTTAGGGATCTTATAAATATTCTCATTAGAATTTCCCTCTGTATAGGCTTTCGTTTGATCTTTTTCTTTTGCTCCTCTAAATAATGCCTGGTTTGCTTTCTTTTCCCTTTTGTCTACATTCCGAGGTGCACAAACTCAATACCATCTTCATGGGTCGCACAATATGCTGCTCAATGCGGGACTCTTCTTGGTGTAAATCGGAATTTCCTCAAACCCGACTCTCCTCACCACATTTGGCTGCTACAGCTCAAGATCTGACTAAACCAAATTAACTGTTTATTTTGAAGCGTTTTCACCATTTCTACTTCTTCTCTTTCTATCTATGAGGTGCAGATTCTAGAAGAGATTGGACTCACAATCGGCTAGAAAATGTGATTCTCACAAGGATTAAAAGCTATATGTTACAAATGCAAAGTTAAAGGATTCTTGTTAAGATATTAATGTTTTTCCAATTTAACCTTAAAACATGTACGTCTTAATTGGCGAGTTTACCACTATTCAAGATCAGTTTACTTGACACCTTTGTTAAATAGATTCCCTAGGAAAAATTAAACCAATATGATATTATTATAACAACTCAATCGCCAAATGCTGTTCCTTTTTGGGGGCAAAAATCTGGGATTTGATCCAAGTCCATTGAAAAGGATCATTTGGTTCTACCATAGCTCCATCCAATTTACATGCCCATTTCTTATTTTTCCTAATCATTGACAAGCATGAAAAAATTTGGGGTTTATTTCTTTTGCAATGAATTTGGTTATTGGCAGTTTCTTGTGCAGCTTCTCATTGACTCATTGTACAAAGGACCTTTTATTTTTTCTTTAATACAGTTACACTTTACCTTAGGTTATTTCGGTAGAGTGGGATGCCATCATTGTTGGCATGACCCCATTTCTTATTTAACACATGACAAACTACAGATATGTCTTGATATCTTGGTACATAAGGTCAGGTGATGTCTATAACTTGAGTCTGTGGGCCATTTTTTAGCAACTAATGCACATGCTAGATGCGTACATATATTTATTAATTTTCAATATCTATAATTGCAGGATTTACAGTATGGATCCCTTGAATCAATGTATAATGTGAAGCATTTTGTGGCCAGGTAATTCAATAACCTCGATATAAAAAACCTTGTCAATGTTGGTTTCTTATACGTTCAGCAATTTACTAGTAAATACCAAATGTTTCTTGTGCAGAAGGGAGTCCCCCTGGAAGGTGGATGGCGAATCATCGGGAGTTTCCTCTAAGTTGAAATTTCTCGAGCAGGAATTACTGAATTTGGAAAAAATTGGCAAAAGCGAGCAATCAAAAGTTCCTCAATTGATGAGAAAGCAAGCCAAAAGATATCAAGCTCTGGCAGGAAAGATAGATGATTTATGCAGAAGAATGGTAAGACACAGCTCTGGTAGATTTTTCCTCTTATGCTTTTATGTGATCAACTGATCATTATCTCCTTTTCCTTTGATGCCTTTTAAGTAGATCCTGGTTTTGCATGCTGTGGAATTTTGTAGTACATATTTACCATTGAGTGTATGACAGAGTTAAGCGTAAATTTTGAACTACTTGACAGAAACTAGGCTTTTATTTTATAAAATATAATTGCACAAAGGGTTCCTTTTAATCTGTAATGTGGAAATTTGGGCATTTTCTATGAATTCAACTGTAAAAACCTAATGATGACGACCTGTAAACAGTTCCTCTGTTAGCAACCAAAATGTGTAGCAACGCCATGTCAGCCGTTGATTTCGAAATTTGTATGCTCTGCTGACTTATCCATCTGAAACTCCAGATTAGTGCAAAAATCTTTAGCCATTGGAGAATATATGATTCAACATTTTCGAAAAAGTTAAAGCATGTTGTCCCGCTTATGCAATTTTATAGGTATTGCCTGAATGATCAGGAAGTAGAATCTATTGTGGGCCATCATCTATACAGTTTGTTTTGAAGGGAAAAGAAAAAAAGAAAATTCCAGACCATGACAAAATTTTGAACTGTTTGAAGTCGTTTAATGGGGGGGGGGTAATATTATGGTTTCCGCTTTCCACCCTGTATCAGATCTACCAGCCATCTGCTTTTCTCCATAAGTCAATGAATTCTCCACCAAGTCCCTAAATCTTTTTTTTTTTCACACACTGCTCCTTAGCCTATTGTAGCTTCACTGCTCACTATTTGCCTGTAATATGCTGTACAAATGCATATCTCAATGCTATTGCTTCTCACCCTATTTATATAAATTTAAAATTCAAAGTAGGTAGATGATTGATTTCAATTGTGTATGAGGTCTACTGGTTGTATTCCCCTCTTCAGTGTTAAAGAGGATAGATTTCATTCTTAAGAGTTTGTTTCTTCTCTTTCTCCAGCAAGCAAGTGATCCTTGCGAGCCGACTCTCAGCCCAGAGTTCCGAACGCAACGACAAACGGAGTTCTTGCTTGAAGCATTTCGCCTTCAACAACGTGCAGTGGAGACTGGGCAAAAATTGATTGCAGTACAGACAGAAACAGCAAGGAGCCAATTCGGGGACGAGCTTGGGGGGCAAGCCAAGGTAACAACAAGACGGTCCTTGGATTCCATTAGGAACAACTTAAGAGAAATCCAGAGAAATTTGGAAATTTGGCTGGCAAGAATTATGGGTGATCTGGAAGGTATCCTTGCCAGAGATGGTGCATCTCGTGTAAGGGAATATTATATTTCTAGATACCCATTTGTTCGATAAAAGTCCACAATGATGGCTCCTAACCCATGTTCAAAGAGTAACCATTTATCTCAACTGGTCGGGGCAGTGGAGATTGTAACCGTAAAATCTGTTGCAGTTATAGAACCTCACAGATAGACTATTTTAGAGTGGGTTACTGGGTATCCTGTCTAGGACTAGGAACCAACATATGTCCAAAAGATAGACTTGGTCGGATTACCCTATCCAGCGAAACCTCTCAAAAAAACTGAACACAGGACCTGGTATCCTCGAATCAGGCCTCTTTATTTTGAGCCCCGGTGGGACCCAATTTGAAGGGTCCTAATCCAGTGCATGTGATCGTCATGTGCACACACAAAGGCAGTACCCAAGTGGGGTAGTCATTCTGTTCCACTTCCACTCTACACAACAGCGAGGGGAGTTGAGAGGGGGGGACCCTTTGCCCTTTGTCGGATACTTTCTGAAACTGGACATATGAGCTTTAAAATTGTGCAGGCACTGAAGAGGGGTGTGTGGGACAGGAAAGGGACGGGTGATGATGTTGGACTAACTTGGCTTTAATTAAGTAATATAAATGGTTGTTGTTTGTTTTGGGTGGTTGCCTCATTGCCTGTAATATCAGTAGTAAAATGGGTTGGGAGCTGGAAGTTATTACTTTCGATCTGATGGCTTGATAGTTATCCCACTGCTACATTAAAAGCAAGAGTAATTGATTTGATGGGGTTATGACACGTCGCGAGCATTTGATGAATGGGAGTCAAAAGACTGATTAGACAGATACTTACCGAAAAAGGAAGGCTGATTGACAGACGTGACACTCTCTTGCAGAGCTTAGTTACTTTACCAGTCACACCCACCACTGGGAAATGAGTGAAAGCATTAAAAGGGAGCCGGTGGAGAATAATCAAATCACCGCTCTATATTTTCACCTGTCGCAGTGATGCACTGATGCAAACGCGGAAGGCTACCGGATCTGGTTGTTTTGGAGATGCGAGGTGAAGGGCCCAAGCCCAACAGTTGATAATGCTGGATTGGCTGTTGCAGACTTCTGGGGTAGTGAGAGTGCCTCTCACAAATAATCGCCTGTTGCGTGGGCACTGGGCGGACGTTCAGATACTATCCCACTTCGAGTTAGAAGAGTTACTGATCCTGCATGCTCCAACCGTCAATACGAAGAGTTAAATACTTCACCTGATCGAGACCGTTGAGCACTTCAACAATCACATAACCCGTTCCAAACTTTCAATGCTCCAATTATATTTCCAACGCTCTAGGACTTGGCTAATCGGCATGATCAATGTGGGTGTCCAACTGTCGATCATTTCCAGTTATGAGTGAGATAGCCACCTAGGGACCCAGACAGACTGCTCTGTAGGTCTTGTGGTCCAAGGTCTAATGCCGATTTTATGAATTCATGTCTCTACTTCAAGACCTTTTTTTCTTGGTAGCCCTCAACTGTTCCCTCGAAGTTATTAGTGATGTGATAGGTCCTGTATCACCATCTATTATACACACCTTTGTATTCTGTGCAGAAAAAAATCTTATTTGGATACTTGAGGTCATTATCGATACTAGCTGGAATTTTGGAACGAGACAGCAATTCGCAAGGAATATAGTTTTGTTTTCGGATGCTGCGTGCAGTGTGAAGACCAAATTTATGCCAAAGCCATGAACTGATTTGTGTTTAACTGTTTTAATGGGTAAAAAAAATACTAAAATCTAAAATGAGACGGTCTTAGTTAGTAAGCTGTGAACTGCTTTAAACTATGTTACTACCGCAGTAATTAATCCCAAAACCATGCCCCAACTCCATCACTGAAATCAGGTTAGGACCATTCCTTGCTGTTTACCCAATTGATTGTGCATGGGGCAAACGACTGTCCAGTGGAATGTACAGGACTATTTAAGGGCCCGACTTGTTTTCTTTTACCGCTTCATTAAGGGCCCGATTTATTGTCATTATATTGTTTATAAGTCTAATTATATTTGCCATCCGTAAATAACATGTTGGTCTTCTTCATTTAACAAGACTTGCAATTCCTAACGGAAATAACATGTTAATCAGTCGTCTACATTCTTCAGCCACAGTTAAGGTGGTGGATAAAACCTAGGCTCTCTTTGTTTTTTGGTAAATTATTTATCTGGGTAAAATGTACTTGACTAGTTTGGCAATTTTTTTTCAAGTGGGAAAGTTATTTAATCACCTAAAAGTTGGGTATCACTTACGCAATTAAGTGAGATCCAAGAAAATAAATTTTCCCTTCTCCCCACATAAATCTGAAAAAAGAACATAGGATTCTTGGTCAATGGGAACACCCCATCTCAAAATCCAGAAAAAGAATGTCCCCTTAAAATCACATCTATAACTTGGGCTGGGGCAAGATTGAGGCTAATGTCGACCTAGCGCTACCTTTTTTTTTTTGAAACCTCAACCAAACGGAACTTGATGCTCAAGTGGGGTTGATTTAGGCTATGATCTTGTGACCAAAGTGCATCCTCCCCCCCTCTCTCTAGAATAGATTCCAAATTTGTGGTTACAGTAAGGCTTAGTTTGGAAGGAATACAAATACAAATATATAAGGTGCAAAACCTTATATTTTGTATTGTTTTCTATGTATTTGTACAAATCACAGGGTCTAGCTGTAGTTCCCGAGTCAGCAAGGAGGAGCCTCAAAATTGGTTTTGAACAGGACCTTGAACCTTGGGGAAAATCCTTGAATTTTAAGGGGTATTTCTTGCCATGCCAAGGGTTGCCGACTCCGATTGTTTTAACACAAACTGACGTTCTTATACTGTGATAATTGGTGTCTTATTCTATCGATCTAATTCACCTTTTTTTTTTATTTCCCTTTTATTTTATAGGGTACCCCATTTTATGTTAAAACTAGCTAATGGATCAGTATTTAGTGGTGAAATGGGTATATTTTGATTTTGAACCATTTATTGTAATACATATAGTCGGACCTAGATCTTTTAACCCTAGGAAGAGAACAGCTTGTCTTAGGATTATCGTCATATTGAAATGAGGAAGCTCATTCTCGGGAATATTAGAATTTGGCATTCAGAAGGAACATGTATTTCTTTTTCGTATCTTTCATGTTTTTTGTTTTTAGATCTTCAATCACAGGCACATGTAAGTTCTATTGGGTATTGGGCCCAATTCCATAATGCTATAGTGCTTGTGGGCTTAAAGTCAGAGCAAGCCAGGGCACCATAACCCATATCCATTGGCAGGGGTGGAGCCCGGGGGGACCCAGGGGAGCCATGACCCCCCTTATGGTTCAGAAACTCCCCACTGAAAAATAGCTTTTCATGTAAATTTTCTTCTCTCCCCACTCTCCATCTCAATGATTGGCCCCCCTTATAATAATTTCCTGGCTCCGCCCGTCCGTTGGGGCCTTTGGATTAAGCATGGCCTGGATTCACTCAAAATTCATTTGATGCTTTATATCGATAAAAGTACTGCAACCTAATATATCATTTCAACTTGTTCACATTTCTCTGTATGATTGTTTAATAATAAAACCTTGCAAATCTGAAGAATTGATTTTGAGTTCACATTTCAGTTTATTGGTCAGTTGTTTTTCCCGTATCATATTTTTTCCATATCATAGTCGAATATCTGAATCCATTGATTATATTCAATTTTAAACTGCACCCAAAGACTAATAGGGTCGACTTAGGATCTGGATATACCGGCCGAATTTCAACTTACCCAGAAAAAAAAAAAACAAAAATTTATCTTACCCAGTTACATTCCAATTGGTGGTAGGATTGTCATGTTCTGCTCATTTGATCATTAAATAGAACTTAGGAGGCTTATAAAAAAGGGAAGGGTCCTTTCCCTACCTTTTCTTTCAAACCAAACACAACCTTAAAGTGGATCTTATCTTACCCAGCTTTTGCCCATGGGCCTTACATGAAGAGCATGTATGCCTGATTCTCATCGAGGAAACATGTAAAAATGACAACGGGTGGGGATCATATTTCCTGTCCCCGACCCTGATTTTGAAATTAACCTCCATCCCCGTCTCCGATACCTGTTGGGGATAAAATTTGTCCTCATGGGGATGGGTTCCCCACAAGGACTTGAATCCCCGAAATGTTTTTAGATAACAGTATTTTTCTTGAAAATTTAATTTACTTAAAATAAATAAAAATTTTAAATTATAAATAATTTCATATATGTATATATATATATGTATGTATATATATGTGTGTGTGTTTTAACCTAAACCAATTTATTGCAAAAAAAAAAAAAACATTGTCTTGGTCAAGAACTAAATGTGGTCCTTACCGGTAGAACCACTAACCTATTTAACCAGGAAAATGGGCTATGGTTAATACATTAATTTGTTTATTTTTGTATTTTAGCTATTTCTTTTTTTACTAACAATAATTCTCATTTTTTCAAATATATTTTTGTTTATATGAAGAATATATAATAGTAACACATGTTCAATTTTTCCATAAAATTTATAAACATTCTATATTTTTATTTTTTATTATTTAATTTATGTTTAACAAGAGGAAATGCAATTCCAATTTATTGTTTGATATTTGTTTCTAATATTGGGGTTGAATCAATTTATTAGATTGATTAGCCGACCACCCAATTCAAGATTGTAGGTTCATTTACCACTAAACCACTTGCCTATGGTGACCTAGCTAATTAAATCATGGTGCCATTTGACATGGTTAGTGGAGTCATGTGTTAGACACTAATGCTTTATTTTTTCCAATTTTTTATCCCATTTCCATCATTAATGAAAATAATTCTCATTTATCACATTTTTTTTATATGATGAATATATAATATCATTGAATGTACCCAAATTTATCTACATTTGGAGTCACGTGTTAGACACTAATGCTTTATTTTTTCCTAATTTTTATCCCATTTCCATCATTAATGAAAATAATTCTCATTTATCACACTTTTTTATATGATGAATATATAATAACATAGAATGTACCCAAATTTATCTACATTTTTCTATAATTTGGTGTATTTCATTATTTAATTATAACATCATGTGTTGATCCATTTGATATCGACAATTGAACCACTAATCCACCACTTGGATAGAAAAAACCATTTTGTTTTTTTGGTTGATTTTAAATCTTGTATTCCATTTTCATCATTAATAAAAGTAATTCTTATTTTCATATTTATTTTTGTTTAATATTATGAATATATAACACTAGAATTGTATCAAAATGCTTTATACAAAGCTTATATTTTTTCTTCGTGTTTCTATATATATTTTTTAATATTTATTTCATAGTTATGACATCATAGATGGACCCATTTGATCTAGAAGATTAGATCGTTAACCTACCATCTAGATATGAAATTGGTTTCATTTTTAGACTGGTTTTAAAATTTGCATTTAACTTATATCACTAATAAAATAATTTATTATTCATCATACTTATTTTTTATTTATATGATTAGTATATACTATTATAGATGTGCCCAAAATTGTTTCGTATTTTTTGTATTATTCTATTTTAAAAATTTTATTTTTAATTATACATCATGAGTTAACCCATTTGATCTGAAAGGTTGAACCACTAATCCACCCCCTATATAGGAAAATTGTTTCATTAATAAAATTAAATCTATTTTATCATACTTATTTTTTTAATATGACAAATATATAGTAATAGAAATGTGTCCAAAATTTTCAAAATTTCTTTATTTTCTATATTTTTATATTTCTAATTTTTTATTATTTATTTATTATAACATGAAATTATCCATTTAACCCAAATGATTGAAGTACATACCACGTAGATGGAAAAATATGATTTTTTTTCTAGGTTTATTTTAAAAATATAAAATTTCATTATATTAATAACTATTGTATATCGATTTTTTAGTGGAATTTAATGATGAGAAACAAAAGTACAAATGTTGGATTGAATGTGTGTGTGTATGTGTGTGTGTGTGTGTATAGAGAGAGAGAGAGAGAGAGAGAGAGAGAGAGAGAATGTGATTTATTTAATGACTTAAATGTGAGACTTGATGGGAGGTAATAATTGAATGCACTTAATAGTATAATTTTAATTGCATTTTCTACTTAAATCTTGTATTCCATTTTCATCATTAATAAAAGTAATTCTTATTTTCATATTTAATATTATGAATATATAACATTAGAACTGTATCAAAATGCTTTATAAAAAGCTTATATTTTTGTTTGAGATTCTATATATCTTTTAATATTTATTACTTTGTTATGACATCATAGATTGACCCATTTTACTTGGAAGATTAGATCGTTGACCTACCATCTAGATATGAAAATGGTTTCATTTTCAAGCTGATTTTAAAATTAGCATTTAATTTATATCACTAATAAAATAATTACTATTCACCATACTTATTTTTTGTTTATATTATTAAGATATAATATTATAGATGTAGGGGTGAGCATTCTGTTTCTTTAGTTAAAAATCAAACAGAATAAATTGAAAATTTTTAAAACCAAATTAAAAAATAAAAACCAAATCGAAACCGAATAATAAAAAAGCCAAAATTTTCGATTTGGCTTTTAGTTATTTC